TCAGAGCTAAACACAATTATGTAGACACTAAATGTGTTTTTACCCCCCAGTTCAAGTCTCCTAGGACCCAGCATCCTAACAAGGCAGAGCAATTTCCATCCAAAAAAGGAAAGGAAATATATGGAGAAAAGATAATTCAAATAGTCCCTTTTCTGAGTTTCAAAGCCAACAAACACTAGGTGGGTTCCAAACTAAGTTTTATTCTATGGAATAATTCCTCACGAGGACAAGAAATTCAACTTTAAAAATAAATTATTCGCACTTTCAATTATTTATCTATAATGCTAGCATCTTTGATTGACAAAATGTAAAATATATTATGGTCATAGTAAAATCATAAAGATGGAGGATGAATTGTGCTTTAAGGTTGAGGAGTGTACTAAATGTACTAAAGTTAAAAGACAGTAAAAGGCTATTTGGCATCATCATTTTTAAATGCCTTTAAAAGTCTTACATAATTTCAAACAAATGACAAGGACAGCAAGGAAAATGCTGGAATTCAACTTGCTTTACTATTTAGCATCAATTAATTACTTTCTCATTTCCACATTATTCACATAGGCTCAGCACATTTAGCATCTATTAGATGGAAAGTTGTTTCTTCTATTTTCCATCACCTGCCTAAAACCTTGTGAAAACCATACAAGGAACCTCATATTAATAAATTATGATTCCAGCTATACTGATTAGCAATCATTTCCTTACCCTCACTTCAGCATTTCCAACAAGTGCACACTAATGGCTAGCAGAATGCAGACAGAAAACTGAACAGTAGCCAGAAAAAACATGGTGCATATTCTCTACTCCTCTCTTTCTACACATGTCTGTGTCTGTAGTGCAGCCCTGTGTATCCTACATGGCAATTATCCATGGTATGTGCATTTCTCCCACTCATTATACAGATTTCACTTTGCATTCTAGTAAGGTCTTAGTAGCAACACAGTAGGTCTTCATAAATGTCCATTACGTATTTAAGAAACTCTATGTTATAAATTTGGAACAAACTCCACATATCATTTTGGGTGCATTATAACTTAGATGTGCACTTATGATAATAAATGTCATACCAAATCACTGTATCAAACAGACATCCATTGATCTGAGGGTTTTAGGGTTAGCTATTTACTTAGACTGTTGCACAAAGCTAAGACCAGACTATTTGACTAATGGGATGGCTGGGATATGCTGCCATTCCTTTCTCAGCATGAGCACTGTGATAACTCTACTGGTGGTATTGGCAACACACACTATATATCTTACAAGGCACATAACTGAGCAGTAACTTTCCCGTTCTCTCGGTGATCTTGAAAAAAAAATCCTGCCACTTAAGACCAATTAATTAGTAGGAACTGGAAACTCAATTGAATCATTATAAATTCAAGGCTCCAAAAAACAATGAAACTACACACTAGATATTTCCCTTACAGTCCAAGACTGCTTCATTATTCCCCATGATATAAGTTTCTTTACTTTGTAGTCACACTTTGAAGATTTATTCTTTATGAGGCTTCATAAACAAAATATGCTAACTTCATCTGAACTCCTGACTTTTCCTTAATGGCTAATTATATTTAAAAGCTTCTGTTTTCTGTTACTCACAAACAAATCTTGTACTATTGCAGTTATTTTTTAAATTTCATTTTATTGTAAATATGCTGTACAGGGCGGTTACAATTACAGGGAGGTTACAATTACATAAGAAAGGTAATGAGTACATTTCTTGCAGAACATTGTTACCTTCTCCTTTGTTTTCTCCTGCTATCCCCTCCTTCCTTCACCTCCCTCACTCTCTGCCCCCTCCAAGTTGTAAAGTTCATTTCTAACATAGTGTCTTGTGAGTATCATCGTTGCAATGGGTCATCCTATGTCTTTGTTTCAGCATTTTGTTATTCCCCTTCCCCTCCCCAAATTAGATAAATGTATATACAAGATGCAGGGTACCAAAATAAGATACAGTCACAAAAGAGGATATACCATAGGGGGAAGAACATATAAAAGAAACAAAAAAAAATCACATAGCACATTAAAAAGAACAAGAACAAAGAAAAACCTCGTGTGTCCATATTTTGGGGTTCATTTCACTTAGCATAATCTTTTTTTTGTTTGGGTCCGGTCATGGGGCCTGAACTCTGGGCCTGGGCGCTGTCCCTCAGCAATTCAGCTCAAGGCTAGTGGTCTACCACTTGAGCCACAGCGCCACTTCCGGTTTTTTTCTTTTTGCTTATGTGGTGCTGAGGAATTGAACCCAGAGCCTCAGGCATGCAAGGCAAGCGCTCTACCACTGAGCTACCTTCCCAGCCCCAGTTAACATAATCTTATATGGTCATATGAACATAGCTTTTGGGCTTTTCTGCTTATCTGATAAGATTACACTAGACATATTTTAATTATTGAAAATAAGGGAAACCAGAGGACCTGTATGTCTTTGGGTCTAGCTTACTTCATTTAATATGATTTAATATGTCAATCATGGGGCTTGAAATCTAGGCCTGGGCACTGTCCCTGAGCTCTACAGCTCAAGGCAAGTGTTCTATCACTTGGGCCACAGTGCCACTTCCAGTTTTCTGATGGTCTACTGGAGATCAAGAGTTTCACGGACTTTCCTGCCAGGGCTGACTTTGAACTATGATCCTCAGATCTCAGCCTCCTGAGTAGCTAGGATTACAGGCGTGAGCCACATGCACCCAGCTGCAGTTATTTTTTTTAAGTTAGTTGATATGTCAAGGGATTAACTGGGACTACCAGTAAAGTTCTTGATATAATTATCAGACAATGTTGATATTTCAAGCCACTTTTTTGGCCTCTGACAAAAGAAGAGGTAATACATGTGCAGGATGACTACACATTAGACATGTCACTAAAGCATACTGCCAACTACAACTATCGGTGCCTCTTAAAGGATGGAACAGAATTGAACATACTAAACTTTCATTGTAATGTAGATAATTGTTCTCCACAAAGCCCAAAATCTCTTTCACCATTTTCTTATTAAGACAAATAATGAGGATAAATAGAGAAAGCCATTGTAATGTACCTTCACCAACACCCACACCCACATCCCACTAAGAGACATGGATAATGGATTTCTTTGTGAGTCAACTTCCTCAACTGTAGAAGTTAAACCTAAACCCACAAAGGGGTTAATAAAATAAACAATGACAGATGTTTAACTACCAAATAACTACCCATTTTGCCATAACTCATTGGGAAACAATTAAAAGGGGATAAAAGTCATGGTAATGACCAGTTATAGACCAAAATTATGCATACCATCTCATTAATGTTTCAATAACTTTACAGAAACTATTGGCCATCACTTCTTTACACAGATCTTTTTGATTTGATGTTCTTACACTCAAATCACAAATATGTCAATTTTGATCACTTAAAGAAGTATGTGGACAAGGAATAACAGCTCTACTGTAAAACTTGATCTATTTGTTATTTGTTGCATATATGTGTGTGCCTATATATGCCTCTATCTATAGATATCTATAAGTATCTATAGATATAGATATAGATCTTGAATTCTTTCTCTAACACTCAACTAATGATGTGGCAAAAAGAATAACCTTCAAATACAAACTCTTTAGAAACTCAAAAACAGCTCTGTGCCTGCCAAATATGTGCAATTTTTCTAACTCCATATTCCTCATTCTTAAATGTCCAATGCTAAAGCCAAAACCTGAACCCAAGCAGCAAGCTGCAATGTTTTGAAACTATGATATCATTCTGTCTGGAGCACTTTAAGAGACAATTTGAATGAATTGGCAGAAGCTTAAATGGGTCACACTGAAACCCAAAACCAAGGATATTTATCTGGAAGAAATATTCTGGCTCTGCCTGTGAACACAATGGCCATACAATGGCAGGCCTATCATTCATTTATCTTTAGTTGTACTTTGCAAAAAGACAGTGAAAATACGGTAGATCTTGCTACCTGAGCATATTGCTAATACTACTGAGTACATAAAATTCACAAATAGCCCCAAATATCAACCAAGCCATAAGGTGTTACCAATCTTACATATATACATATATGCACATATATAATAGGTATGTATGTAAATACATATATGTATATATGTATATAGCACAATGTATTAATTTTGGGAAAGCAGGAAACTGTAACTTAGTCATATTTATTTCATAATCTTACTTAGTACTGACAGCTACAGTTTTAAAGGATACCCTTGTGAGGCATTCAGATTGCCTTTTTTAACTGGATCTCTCTAAGAACTAACATCTGCCTTGATTTCTTCTTGTGGCATTACAGTCCATATGAATACAACAAACAAAAACTGCAGAAGTTTCTGCTATTCTCAGTTCCACAACCGCCCAACATAAATTTTCCTTTCACAGTAAACAGTACACAGTCAAAAAGGTTTCCTGTTTCAAAATGGAATAGTAGATGAAAGAAACTGTAACCATGCCGTGAACAAGTTTAAAAAGTTTCTTAATGATGATCAGTTCTCAGTGATGAAAATGGAAACTCCCAATACTTCTTCCTCCCTTAAGCACTCATCTGGTTCTTTCCTGAGTAAACATTTTGAGCATCACACATGTGGTTACTGTAACTGTTCCATGAGAGATTTTTGTTAAATAGCTTGTGTGCTTTAGTTATTTGAGAGCAACACAACCTACTATAAGAAGGAATCAACACTCCTAAACTATGCTATGGCAATACACCCACAGAGAGCAGCCAATGGTTAAAAAAAAAAAAAACTTTGCATATCTGAGTCATATAGAAGAACTCTGAACCTTGAAGAGCAGGACAAAAGGTTAAAAAACAAAACAAAGCAAAAATCTTTGCTCTGAATCCAGCTTTTCAAAACACACACATAGAGAAATGGAAGAAAAATGTCCAATACAAATCAAAAGATTATTGTCAGAGCAATAATTGTTCACCAATTAAGAATGCATATAAATAAACCTGAAGAAACCATGTATATACAGGATGCATATGGAAATACACCCAGAGTACATCAGATAGAACTTACCACTTTGTCCATGAGTTTCCAAGTTTTCTCCACTGTCCTGCGATCGGCAGCAGCTTGTTTGGGGGGACCAACTGCATCCTGAATAGCATCAATAATACCCAAAATTCGACCTTTCCGGGGGTTTCCTCCTCGACCACCAGGGTTTCTGCCATTCATAGAATTTGCCATCTGGAATCTTTAGTTCTTTGAAAAGTAATTTAAAAGAAAGAAAGAAAGAAAAAGTTAGTTGGGTAAGAAAGGATTTACCCAACAGGAAACTCAATAGGCTAACTTAGACACACTAAAATCTCCACACTTAATGAGAACCCAAGGGGCCCAGATTCAACTTTTCCAACACCCCTGTGTGGATTACATTCTCCATAGTACACAAAGTTCAGAAGCCACGAGCCTAGCTTTCCTGTTCGAACACTAAGAACTTAAAGACGCAGCCTTCTCATGTTTCTAATAGCTAAAAGCTTCACTGAGACCCAACTTCTAGGGACAACAGTATCAACTAAACCTACAGCTAGGTTCCCTCTGACTAGGTTAAAAAAAAAGAAAGAAAGAAAATCCCTGTGGTCCCAGGCTCTGCCTGAGCGCCCTAACACACGCCTAAGGGACACATCTGTTGTCTACAAAGGGTTTCTCCCCGCAGAAACCACCAAGTATGGACATAGGAACCCAGAGTCCTTTAAAGCAGCGCGGTGAGTCGTTATTCCCAAGAGCCAAATAAATCAACAAATAGCTCCTTTTGGAGGGGGGAGGGGAACGGAGGACGGAGGGAGAAACGGACGAGACCGGACTTGGAACGCAGAGTTCACTTCTCCCGGTCCCAGGGGGTCCTCCAGTCCCACCGACAGCTCACGGAGGGGTAGGGGTACCCCTTGCCCTGCCCAGGCCTGTCGGATCTCCGCTGGAGAGGAGGAGGAGGAGGAGGAGGAGGACTGACGGAGGACAAAGTGTCCCCGGGCTGCTCCAGCGTCTGGCAGCCCAGCCAGACTCCCTCGGAGCTGGGCGCCCGACTGGACGCACCTCCCTCCCTCCCCGGCGGGCCGTCGGCGTCCCGGCCTCGCGGCGCCCACCTTCTCCTCCTCCTGTCCAGATCCGATCTGTAAATCCGTCCCACCCACCCATCCACCCCAAGTCTCTCCACTGTGGACGGCAGCGAAGCTGGGCCGCCCTCCCTTCTTCCTGGGTGTCCGGGACGAACACCGTCCCCCCCCACCTCCTCCCGTCCGTCCGATCCGGGCAGCAGCGCCTGTCTCCCGCCGGGCGCCCTGAGCACGCCTCGCCTGACGGCGCCTCGGCGGTCCTCAGACCCGCGCGTGCGCTCGGGTCCCACAGCTCCACGCACGCAGCCCCCGGGGTGCTGACGGGGAACAGCTGGGGGCAGCCCGGGCGGGGAGTAGTAACCGCCCGTCCTAGCGCGCTGCTGAGGTCGGTGGTGGAAACGCGACAATTACCGTCAAGGCAAATCCACACCCGCTGTCCCCTCCCGCCCGACTCTCGGGGAGGCCGCCGCCGCCGCCGCCGCCGCCGCCGCACTCGCCGCACACCCCACCCCGTGAACATGCACAGACACCCAGGCGCGGGGCGGGGCCGGGGGGCGGGGCCGGGACACCACCAGCCAATCCCGACAGCCCCCACACTGCCTGACAGCGGGCAGCGCCAATGGGCGCGAGGCGGCCCGTCCTCCAGGAGACACCACCCGCTCCACGTCCTCCACAGTACACAATGGCCCCCGAGGAAGCCTCCGGAGATCGCGTGTCCCGAAGGGAAAAGAAACTCGGAGGGAAAAAATGAACATGGGCCTGGACTTGTCAGGGGACGAAAAAAGAAAAGAGAAAGGAATGGGACTCAGAGGGGCGAGGAACTAGGGCGCTAACCAATAAGGGGTGGGCAGGTGGGCGTGAGCGTAGGGAAAGGGAGCCTGGCCAACTGGGGCTCAAAAGGCGGGACTTCCTGCCCGCTCACCTCCCAGTCTTTTGTTTCATAGCAACAGAGTGGAGGCTGGATGGGAGTTGCTCCTCAACTCCGGGCGGGTCACAGGCTTAAGAAATTCATCTCCCTAGGGCTGCCAAACTCTCCTGCCCAGGACAGCAGCCAAGCTGCTCTCAGACCGTGTCTCCTATTGGCTGTGACCAAAGAGCAGCCGTCACCCAGCTTCTGAGAGGAAGTGTAGACCCAGCCTAGACTTGAAGCTCAAACTTGATTGCCAGTGAAAACTTCCTAAATTTCTGAGTGCTTCCCTTCGGTGACTGGTAAAGTCCAAACAAGCTGGTGAAAAAGCTAATAGTTGACCACCCTGCCCCCAGGGCAGGCAAAATGACCCGCCAATGAGAAATCACTAAGGTCTATGGGTTGTAACTTTTCTTCACAGCAAGTTTCTGCGGCTGAAACGGAGGAGAACTTAAATGTTGTTGTTGTTGTTGTCTCAGTCTCCTTTATTCTGCACATATTGCGCTTTGTGTAAAACACACACACGCACACCAACCTTGTGTCTGTCATTGTCTCCCACTAAATTTAATCTCTTCCTCCATAAAAAAGGAACATATCTGTTGGGTGCTGGTAGCTCATTCCTGTCATCCTAGCTACTCAGGAAGCTGAGATCTGAGGATATAGATTTGAAATCAGCATAGACAAGAAACTCTGTGAGACTCCCATCTTCAGTTAACTACCAGCAAGCAGGAACTGGAGTTGTGACCCCACTGGTAGAACACCAGCCTTGAGCAAAAGCGCTTAGGGACAAACCCCAGAACTGGCACAAGAAAAAAAAATGAAAATTACACATCTGGCTGTTTAAAAATGAAAAGCTACTGTGCTGAGATCCTCCTTTCAACAAAATCATACAGTAAACAAGCAACCTTCATTTCTATTTGTTGCAATGCTACCACCCATGCTACTATCAAAAGCTTTGGGTTTTCATAATTTGGCAGCTTTTTTCCCATTTGTGTTGATGTTGTTAATCATACTTTTATACCTTGAGCTTCCCACATAGTGTGGTATTTTGATCATATTCAAAGAAATATGTCTAATCATTCTCTAACCAGTTAGTCTCATAAAATATTTTCCAATGGCTTTCACTGCTTGCTAATAAGCATTTTAGTACTGATTTGCACTGTGAGGGACTCCACTTGTCAAAAACATGCTTTATTCTGCAGCCTGAAATTTAGGAGGGTTAAGATTGTCATTTGAAAACAGCCAAAGCACGCTCTTGCAACCAATCAGGCCACAAAACATAGTTCAGAAGACATTTTTTCTGTTATTTCTATGCCAATAATTAAAGAACAGTTGCTTGGTTTACATTTTGCTTAAGTACAAAAGTACTGACATCTCCATATCTTTTCCACACATTCATATCTCCCTTATTCAGAGTCATAGTACACACATTTACTAGAGGAAGACTGAAGAAAATGTGGTATCACTAATTATAATAAGTTACCTTTAAAATAAATCCAAAATGAACTGAAACTCCTGAGAGAAGATTTTCTACCCACATAACCGAATAGTAACACATTGCAACTAACTATATGGTGATGATGTTTGGATTTGAAAATGTAGAATAAGTAAAATAAATATTGGAGACTTGCTTATATTTTGTTCTGCAACTGAAAGAGATAAAAGTGAGCAAAATGGCATTATCTGTGGCATCAAGCATGTCATAACAAATGAGAACTCAATATATATATTGGGGGGGGTTGGGTTTTGGGTTTTTTTTGTCAATCATGGTGCTTGAACTCTGGGCCTGGGCACTGTCCCTCAGCTCAAGGTGAGCACTCTACCACTTGAGCCACAGAACCACTTCTGGTTAATTGGTGTAAAGAGTCTCATAGACTTTCCTGCCTGGGCTGGCTTTAAACTGTGATCCTCAGATCTCAGCCTCCTGCATAGCTAGGATTACAGGTGTGAGCCACCAGCACCTGGCCTCATTCGTGTATTGTTATGCATCTAGGTATATGTATATATCTCACTTACTATAGCTATATGTATCATAATATGCCATACGTGTATGAATATTATATATATGCACATTGATATTCATATGTGCAACACATACATGTACATTTAATATGTAAATTTCATCAACAAAGGATGTTTTATTGTCAACTAGCTATTTTGTGAAAGGCACCTAGAATGCTAGTTAAATTCTGGTGTTGCAAGAAGATCAGTTAAACTCCAACTAGGAATCAGAGTTTGGTTATATCTTACAAACTTTGGGGAAATCTGCCCTCCTGTTCATTGGTAGCACAAAAGATAAGCTTTTGCAAAAACAAAACAAAAATCCTGAATTCTGAAGGACTATAATTAGTCCACAAAGGAATGTTTTCTTACCAGACTTTGTGATGCCCAGGTTATAAGAGGTAGTGTTCCAAACTAAAGAAATAACAGACTTTTGTAGAGAACAAGTTGGCCTGTACTTTGCATTTTGCAGGGAACATTTCACACTGGGAGCTGTGGGATTGGAACCTAGTGAAAACAGCAATCTCTTCTTCTGGATAAACCTGACATGAAGTAGATGGTAGACTTCAGACAAAAGAGCCTCACAACCACCATTGTGCCCTGTAAAGGAACATGTTAAACAAACTGGTTGATAAGCACAGGTGAAGTCTCAAGGGATAGATATGGCAACAGCATTTGGAGGCAGCAATGAACTCTTGAACTCTAAGCACTAATATTTAATGTTAATGTATGTACCAAGAGACTGGTGTCACAAATGCAGGATACATTTGTATATTTAAGCATAACCTTTTGTTTTAGTTTTGGCAAGGATGGAACTCAGGGCCTCTAAACACCCTGCCATTTCAGCTACTATCTCAGTCCTTTTGCTTTGAGCTTATTTTTCAGGTACTGTCCATCACCTTTGCCAAGTCCAGCTTCAGACCATGATCTTCCTACCACTGCCTCCTGATAACTGGGATTATATTTCCAAAGGAATATGTGTGTGTGTGTGTGTGTTTATGTGTGTATGTATACTGTAAGCAAAATGAGTTCCCTTCCCATAGCTTAGTCTACTCCTTCCCTTCTCCACAGCTTAGCATGCTCCCTTCCTAGGCAACACTAGACCCTGTAGTAAAGGCAGTAAATAATCAGCCACCAACCTCCTTTTACCTTGGGATGGCACTTCTCTGGGGCAGCTACCACAAAATAAGGCAACAAGAGCCCCTTAGGGTGACCTTCAGGTCTGGGCAGTTGCAAGACCCTTATCTATTTGGATAGCAGCCATAAATCCTAGTCCGCCGTGATGAAACCCTGGCCCACATGTCCATACCAGGATCTCTGGCTCCTAGCCCCTTCTAGCCCCTCCTAAACCTCCTAGGATATATAGGTCACCCCAGACAATAGCTGGTATTGCTTTGCACTTCTCCCTTGTGAGAAGGAGACTAGCCGACCCCCTTTCCCCAGCAATAAACCTTTCTTTGTTCTCTGTACCTGGATGTCTGCCTGGTTCTTTGGCAAACTCTATTTACTCTTTCATTTTATATATATATATGTATATATATATACATATACACACATATATATATGAAAAATAAATATTTTATCTATTTTTCTACTTTCTTCAAATTCACAAGTGACTCCTGTTATATTAGACTAAAGTTGATTAAATAATAGAGCCCTTCCATAACCAATTTGATCCATTTTAGCCAAAAAGTTAATTGGATTGGATATACAAAGAAATCTTGTTTATCCTCCACAGTAAAGAATTCACTTATTTCACAATTCCAAGGAAGAAATTATTTCTCCTATGCACATGCACACACACACACACACACACACACACACACACACACACTCACTGCTACTCTCCTAAATAAATACAAACATAGAATTATGAACAATATGGCCTAGTTATATTTGGAATTATCATCACTCTTTGTTTAGAAAAATAGATCTCGATCCATCCTTTGACAACAGAACAACAATAACAAAAACACAACTACCAATGACTTCACAAAGTGCATTATTCCACATTACTTTCTGTAAAGTGGGAAGGTGGGAATTAAGGTAAGTATTATAGCCCACAATTCTCTAAAAGGCCTGCATTCCTATATTATTGACTTCTTCTCTTAGATTTAACTCATATTCCAAATGGCTATTGTCTTTAGCTATTATCAGTGATTTCCAGGCTAAAAGCTACAAGGAAATTGAGAAGGATAAGCCAAACATCAAGTCAAATCAGTTTTATTTAAATAATTTCCAGAGAATTCCCACAAATATTTCTCATAAACAGTTCAAGGTCAGACCTTAGATACATGGTCTACTTTAGCTCTATAAAAAGAGCTGGGAAAGTGGCTCAGTGGTAGAGTGCTTGCCTTGCATGCATGAGGCCTTGGGTTTGATTCCTCAGCATCACATAAGCAAAAAGAAAAAAGCCGGAAGTGGCGCTGTGGCTCAAGTGGTAGAGCACTAGCCTTGAGCTGAAGAGCTGAGGGACAGTGCCCAGGCCCAGAGTTCAGGCCCCAAGGCCGGTCCCCCCCCACAAAAAAAAGATGGAAATCAATGCACTTTTTTTTCGAGGAAACAATATGACTAACTAAAAATTCAACTCTTCAAACTTTGTT